GAGGGAGGGAATCGCCATCACACAGAACATGCTGAGAATTAGGAAACGGTATGGCATCCTAACTGTCCGGCTTGACTCAAGGGAATCATGGTGCAGTGGAAGAAAGACAACTGATAGAGTAGAGATGCGTTTGGGTGGGGACAAACTCGGGATTGACAGATCAGCATCACAACCACTGCCACTATCGTCAATGGGGATGGACAGAAGAGAGAGAGAAGCAATAGAACAGTAGTAGTTGTTGTTGTAGCAGCAGCATCATGGGATGATAAAGAGGAAGGACCGCATGAAAAGTGACGGAATTTCGTATTGGGAGAGACGAGGGACAACCAGGACGAGAGTTGTGGCGCATCTAGGAATCAGCGTGTGCAAGTGACAATGGAATCGGATCGATGTTGGCACATGATCTACGTACAAAAACACTACTGCCTCGAACGAATGAATTCAAACTTGCCTACAGGTGAATTCACAATAGAGGCGACAGGATTACGATGTATAAGCGAACGATAAGTGGCAGAGGCGGATCCAACAAATGTAGTAAGGCCCAGGGGTTGATTCGAATGCTGCGGAAAACTGTGATATAAAAAAAACGGGTTTGATTCACGATGCGGTTTAAAAAAAGACACTGTCACGATGAAAACATGGAGAAAGGTGTCGAACAGTGTGTATTGGGAGAGCAGGCTTAATTTCAATAGAGTTGAAAGGATCGATCATTTCTCTATGGCATCTGAGTCATCTTTTTTCTGTTTCTACTCCAACCTGTGATTGACGGAGCAAAAGTAGTGTGATAAAAGGATTCATAAGACAAACCAACCGTCAAAATTCAGAATAATTGCGGAAGAACAGGTAATGAGCTTATGGTGAATGCGGTGTAGAAGGAACTGCGGTGGATCGAGGAACGTGAGGATGAAAACAGACCCGCGCAAGATAACCAAACGAGAGAAGAAAAAACAGATTCACATGTCGATCAAGATCACGCCCGAGTCCAGCATCCCGCTCACAACCAACATACTTAACCGCTGTACACCCACCCTTCGTTTGGAAAAGAGTGATCAAGAAGTCGAGAGGGAGAGATAAGGATCGAGTGAAATGAATGAATGAGTCAATAATGAATCGACGACTGATGGACCGAATGTGTGACTGTTATACAATAAAGGTGAAGCAGTACATGAGCAGAGCGGACATCCCGGCCGCAGCTGGTACTGTGACCACCCAGGCAATAATGATATTGCGAAAAATGCTCCAATTTACATTGTCCCGAGATCGAGCTCGTCCGACTCCGACCACCGAGCCGACTTGACAATGTGTGGTCGAGACCGGCAGTCCGACCTTGCTGGCCAACAGAACAGTGAGTGCAGAACCGATTTCAATGCACACGCCACTGAACAGATTCAGGTGAGAAAGCCGCATTGGAAGAGACGTGAAAGAAGGAAAAAAAAGAACGCTTGATAAAGGAATGATAATTATTGAACCAGTAAGATTACCAAGTTAATAGTAGGTCATAAGATTCTTGTTACGAAAAGATGTATACTACTATACGTTTGGTTCTTTCGTAATGTATGGCAGTACAAGTATTCTACCAACTGAACCCCGATATGAATATTGGAGAAAGTGTACATATAACAATAATAATAATAGTAATAATTGTCACGTCCATGAATAGCCAAAGATCCAGGAGAATAAAATGATCAACCAAATGGTCTCTCTCTATGGCAAAGTACATTTTGCGCGAGCGGGATCGACGAAATTAGTTACGTTTGACATTTCACTGGGTACGAGAAATATGCAGAGTGAGTAAAGAAAACGCGAAAAAGGATGCAGAGATGACAAAATAAAATTCCGGTGTACTAAAGACATAACACAGGCAAAACATATCTAGCGCACCAACTCACAATTTGTAAAACAAACAATCAAGTGGTGTCTCTTTTGAAACCACAGAGAGAACGACTCGATCGCTGATACATCTTTGCGGTGCATCATAAAGACCGTTCTCTTATGAATATTGATCAATCCATTACAGAACATATACAAGAGAAAATGCCCAAGCAATTCGATGGGTTAAAAGTCATCGGATCCTTAAATGATCCTGTACAGATATTGTTCGCATTAGTGAATACACATCAATAATGTTGTAATCCTCAGGGGCAGTTCGGAGACGAAACTGCCGTATAATGTAGAAAACCGATCGCCACGAAGACGGCGGCCGGGACCCTTCAGTTATGCGCTTAGGCTGTATCGGATCACTGTTCTTTAGGTGCGAACAGTAATAGTGGCAACTGTAGTATTAGGAAAAACGGTGGTCTTGTAACTCGTGTTGATTCCATGAAAAACCCCATAAACAATGGAACATGTTCACCTATCACACCAAAGACTGCCAGACCAAGTTACCACCCTACCTACTGTAATAGTTGTGTGATTTGCAATTGGGCTGAATACTGCCAGGTTGCCCAGGCCAAGGCAGATGAACTTTCTTGAGGAATCCACAACCGGAGCATTCGGCTGACCAAAGCCTGACCCGCAA